GGAAAACCTCAACTGTTGGGCATTATTACGGCATCACTTATCTGTGGAAATCTGTGTCCACATGAGGTTAAGAAAAATAAACCAAAACCAAAACCAAACACTCAAATTAGTTTTAATTCAGTCCAACAACCAACTTATTGAGACATTAGTGTCAATTGACTCTGTTGATTTGTTGGTTCCACGCTGACAGCAACATATATAAAGAATGCAGATGTACAGAAACTAATCAGTCATTGGCCCCCTTCCCTCCAAAGCCCTGTTAATATAACAAAATATTTCTCAGGCAGGGAAGGGGAGGTAATGGATATAGTACGTATAGTGCAGGTGGTGTGTAGGGATGAGGCAGGTAAAATTTTTATGTTGGTCGCCAGGAAAAGTCTGGGGAAAAATGGTCTTTCCACACATTGTAAAGTTTGGGCATATTCAATAAAAATCAGGTAAAACATACTTTAGAGGGTTCTAATATATGAGATCTGCGAGTCAATTATCCCATTTCAAGAATGGAAGTAGCTTGGAAGGTACAAAATAGTAAAATCAGAAAACAAGTCAAATTTCTTCTATTTTTGTAATGGCTAAGGCTAAGCAATACTCCTTGAGATGATTTTAGAAGAATTTAGTAATATTAGGCATATTATTAAAGATTTCTATGGATGGGGGTAAAATCTTTTAAAATTTATTAATAGAATGGAATAGGGGGTTAGCTGATAATTTGTAAATGCAATGTCACCCAAGTAATATATAAACTGAAAATTTTTTGGAGGGGTGTCAATAAATGCATAAGCTCTGGGTTTGCTGAACTTCTGAAGGACATGTGCCTGTAATTGGCCTTTCTCATTTCTGTCTTGTTAACAAGTATATAAATAAGAGAAGGCTTCAGTAATTGGCTCAGAGTTACTAATGAATTAATTAACTTCAGTCTATTTTACCTAACCTTTAATAATAAGAGTCCTTTTTTTTTTTTTTTTGGTTTAGCAATAGGTCTGACAGACTGAGAAAACAGACATGCAGCAAAGCTCTTGAAAATTAATGAGAAACGAGGAAAGAATCAATGTACATTCTGCTTGCAGAGAACTGACACAAAAAAGACACAATAAACCATGAACAAACACAGTCAGTTTAAAAAATAGGTTAGAAAAAGTGGGCAAATTCAATTATAGAAGTAATTAGAAGATATAGGGCAAGGCTGCCTTTTGGGACTGTGCCAGAAAACATGAATTAATATGAGTGAATAGAAAGAGCCCATGTAGTAATTAAGAAGCAATCACCTATGGCAATGAGTACCTGAAAACAGGCTGCAAACTATTAATTCAGTGATCAAAAATATTTTTAGATGATTAATATGGCAAATTTATTTTAAAAGACTAATTTCTGGAAAGATATCAAGACAATAGCACACTATTTGTTCCTCTGGCATTTATATAGCTAATTAAATTTTATAATTTGCAACAACAGTCATTATTATCTGAAAACAGGAAAGGCAATATTTCGCCTTTTTTTTCCATGGTGGTTCTAAAATCAATAAGTTAAATCCAACTCCTGCTGTCCTCCTGTAAGTGCCTAAGCCCTGATTGTTACATTTTTTCAATGCATATTTTTCTTATACGTCTGTGTTTCTATAATTTTAAGCATCTGAATTAATGTACATATTCTCAGAGGTTTTATATGTTTCCATACCTGGGCAGGGATTCCATACACTGTTTAATTTCAACACTATCAAATAAAAGCAGTTAAATGTACTATTTGTGCATCAAAGACTTTCTTACTTGGTCAACAGAGGTCTGTTACTCCAGTACACACCATTCCTTCCCCTAGAATACAAAGGCATAGACACGTTATGGTGAAGAGTGCTTTGCAACACACAGAAGGCTAATGGCTTCTGAAATAGGTGATTATCAGAGCCCTGTAGAGCAAGATGAGGGTCTGGCTGGTAATAAATAACCTCGCAATATGAATTATTCTATTTCCACAGCTTTAAGAAAAGCTACATTTCATTTGTTGATCAGGAAAGTCTGGAAAATGCTGTGTCTCTGGAAATAACAGGGAGCTACTAAAACTAATCACTGTGTCAGCAGGGAGTTATTGAGCACCTACTAAGGGCCCAAGATACAAAAGTAAATCTTGAAATGCTAAGCTTGTAACAAATCCGCGCGCGCGCGCGCGTGTGTGTGTGTGTGTGCGCGCGCACGCGCACAGGCACATGCAATTTCCTTTTCAAAATCAATAAACAGAAACTTGTATGCCATGCTTAGAGATGTTAGATCTTTAATTGCTAAAATTTGTTCACGGATTATTGCTTGTCTCGAGGTTAGGGTAGAAATTGCTGACGTACAAAATAAGATCGAAGTAATGCTTCAGAAGTCCTGGTTGTAGAGGGCATGGAGGTAAGATTTGTACAGGTATTGGAGGAAAATAAAAAATGAGAGATTTTGACAGGATACCAAATGAAGCAAATATTAGATTTGCCCAGTTCTTTCACCATCTATTTTTCTCTCATTTTCTTAAAACAACCAAGGTGCTTCTGAGGAGAACACGTAAGAGAAGATCGCCTCTGGCAGAGGGCTCTCATTCTGAGTTTGGCTCGCGTTGTTAATAATAAAAACTTAAGTATGGCAACGGCGAACCAACAGCTCCTCCAGCTATATGCTGACAATGACAGAGCCCCCCGAGAGGCAGGCAATTGGGAACTAGTGAAGTGAGGACAGCTTAGAGGTGTGGGGGCTGAGAGGGGCCGCTAGCTGAACAGGGCCCACTCACCATGAAATGTTAATGTGTCAATGAAGGGGAAAAGCATGAATGAACCACAAAGAAACTGAAAGTGACTCAGCTGGTTGGAGATGGAATTTGGGCTCTTTGCCAAACTAAGGTGTTCAAGGGCACATACCCTAACGCCTAGGGAAAGGAAACGGGCTGCCCTGATTTTAGAAAGAGATAATATTTTGAGGAAAGAAGGCAAAGGCTCTTTTCTCCAGAAATAAACTTCCTTCCTTTTTTTTTTTTTCTTCTTTCCTTCTTCCCTGCCTTCATCCAACAAACATTATCCGCATTCCTACTTTTTGCCAGGCTCGAGGTTAGGAATGGAGAGCTCGAGAGGGATAGTGGGGTATGAAGATAAATGAGAAACAACCCCTCTTTCAAAAGCTCCCTTTCTCGAGGAAGGACAGGTATAGGTAGATGTAGGCAACTACAATAAAAGATCGTGGAATAAGTTGCAAAGGAGGGGAAGAGGTAAACTGTAGAGGGAGAGCAGAGGAAATGGGCAATTAGTTGGGGGCTCTCATAGATCAGAGAAGGCTTTCATAGAGGAGGTGGCAATGAATTATGCCTACCTTGAAGAATCATAGGCAGGGAAGGATGGAGAATTTCAGCTAGAGGAAACTTTCTCTTCCCTTACTCTCATCTCTAAACATCTTCTTTTTCAAATCAGATTATTTCAGGAAAACAAGGAGACAAGACACCCATGACCTGTGCATGTGGGGACGGTAGTTGTATGTGGCAGGGAGGGATGAGGAGAAAGATTGGCTTGTATGGGGATTTCTCTTGAGTTTAGAATACATTCTCCTCATATATCAAACAGTTGCCTTCTCCAGATTAGCTTTTTTTTTTTTTTTAATGTACTCTTCTTTTTCATTATTTGAATGATACTTGGATCTTGTTTGGTTGGAAGATGTGATCTTCCAATAGCTTCTATTTTTAAATAATTTTTTAAAGATTTTATTTATTTATTTGAGAGAGACAGAGAGTGAGGGAAAGCGCACGAGTTGGGGGAAGGGTACAGAGAGAGGGAAAGAGAGAATCTCAACAGACTCTCCTTTGATCACAGAGCCTGTCGTGGACTTGATCTCATGACTCTGAGATCATGGCCTGAGCCAAAATCAAGAGTTGGACCCTTAACTGACTAAGCCGCCCAGGTACCTCTCCAATAACTTTTATATTTTATGTTTGATGGCTTTGTCATTTTTGCCAATGATAAGTCCCTTATTCTAACTCATGGCTTGAGGATTCTTGTGAATTGTGCTGTATTCATAATGCATCCAATTATTTCTGTTTTAATGTATCTTTTCCTTTTCTCATTAAATAAATACTTAAGTACTTACTATGTGGCCATATCCTGCTAGGTACAGTTAATACTTTCCTTGCTTCTAGCTTCAAAATGATGCCTTTTCTAATATGAAATATGGAAATTATTTAAAGTGCATTGACTAAAATAGACAAATGCCTATGGTTCTATCTTATTCAGTGCTGAATATCAAAACCAATCTTGTTCTTAACTGATGTACTGGTGAGCTGGACCATGTATACTGGTTATTATTAGTTCTTAAGATGTTTTCAAAGAAAGGCTGTAGAAACCAACCCAGTTAAGGTAACTACAACAGGCTTATCTACAAATGGAGAATTTCAGACTGGCATGGGTCAAAAGTTTCCTACATACAAATCCAGGCTTATTTACCAGATATGCAAAATCTAGGTCTCCACATCTCTCCAGAGGCTAAGAAAGGAAAAGTAACTATCATGCATGAACATTAATTCATTCAGTGGATTTTTAAGTACTCTTCTAGGGACTAGGGATATGAAAATGATTAAAACATGAGTCTTGCCCTTAAGGAACTTACTCCCTCACGAAGTAGATAAGTCAGATAAGTAAATCAATTATTATAATATAGCTGTGATAAGGTATAAAAGTGCAGCATGGTATGAGAGCACAAAGGAGGGATATCTAAATTAGATTGGGACAGTGGGATAAGAGGATAAGATGCCAGAACTGAGTTTTTAGGAAAAAGAATTTCATTAGCTGAAGAAGAGGAGCAAGGGAAGATGATGTATAAAATGGCACAATGAGCTTGGGAATGTCTTTTTTGCAGATATACAAAGTATTGGCTCCATATTAAATAAAAGAAGGGTGGGATGGTCTGACAGACCAGGCTAGCATAGACCAGGCCCTCTCTGAGGTTTTCTGTTCCTTGACTCATTTCTTTTTTCCTAACTCCTTTTCTTCCACCCAGAGTTTCTGGATAGAGCTATACAGACAGTCTAGTCTGTGGACATTTCAGAATGTGAAAGCTGCTGGCCTCAAGAGTGCTGCTGGGGTATGTCCACTGGGCATTCATGCTAACAATCCAGGTGAGAGCACAGAAAAATAGCAATGGGTGTGATCACAGTACACATGTGTGTGTCTCGTGAAGTTGTTGACATCTATGGAAATGATTCTTTTCTTTACGCCAATATTTTCTTTTGTCCAAATTCAGAGCCTTGATTGAATAAGTAGCTACTCTCAAAGACCTCAACATGTTTTCTAGCCAGGCAACATCAAGAAATGGAACCAAGACTATTCTCAGGATCAAACGTTTATTAGGAATGTCCACTCCTTTTATGAATTCTCTGCCTAGCTAACTCCCACTCATCCTTCAGGAATAAGCTTAACTGACTTTTTTTTCCCTCTGAGGAGTTTTGCCTGACCTGTTGTGTTAGGTCGTATCCCTCTACTCCATGCTTTCTTAGTACCCTGCAATTTTCCTTTGTAGCACTCAATATAACTCTGATTAAATACCGAACTTCATAATTAATGCTTTCACATTAGACTCTTTAGGTAGAATGTTCGCTGCATGAGGACAGCAACTCTACAGTGCCTAGCTAGCAGCATTTCTGGTTCATAATAGGTGCTTAACAAATATTTTTGGAATGACTCATTTACTCTTTATCCCACTTTGTGTGCAACTCAAAAACAACAAATTGCAATGCAGCAGAGATGCTACGTAAAACCAGGTTTCTAGATATGAGGAATGGCTGGAACTCTCAGAAGTCTCTCATAACTGACACGGTCTTCTCGGAGAGTTCAAATGATGGTACTAGGTTATCTCCTCTTATTGCTCTCTCTGGCTTCTTCCTATGGAATTTTGTCTCAAAATGAATCCAACATCTTCCCCTTCATCTGTGTCAGGGCATCTTTATTGTTGCAATGTATTTTCCTCAGGCCAGCGCTTCCTTCATTACTGAGCACCAAATATGCTGTTCACCATGCCAAGCACTTGGAATAAAAACATGAAAGGCATTGACCTTTTCAGGAAAACAGCAGGCAGCCAGGGGAGGGGCAAGGCTGGAGAGGTATCATCATTCTCCAGAGAACCACTGCCTATAATTATGTCACAAGAACATTGCCCTTGTAGCTTAAAGGATTTGATCTCTGTTAAAGTGCCTATCACCCCAGAAATCATAACTATTTTTAGCTGTTACCAACCACCTTTACCTTCATATGAATGAAGGATCTGAGAGCAGGTTTTGGCCCAGAGGGTAGAGGGACAGGGAATAAGGTCGCTGAGAGGGAAAGGATGGGAGAGGGACAAGATGTGCCAGTAAGCTGGGAAAGAGTTAAAGAAGAAGGAGCTAGAGCAACAGAACCTAAGGTAATAGACACAAGGCAATGCTTGATGAGTCAACAGAAGATAAATGGCGTTCTTCAAACTGGCTGAGGGCTCATCGTACCTTAGACTGTTTCTTTAGGTAGCTAGCAATTTCTGGTGGAAAGAAGTTTACAAAATAGGAAACAGATGGCTCCAGATGTTTAGAGTTGATGTCAATCCCAGTGACACTATCCCACTCTAGGGCTTCATAGGGAGAACAAACCAAATGTAATTTTCTTTTCCTTTCCTACCACTACGAATTCAAGAGGATTTCCATTTTCCAGAAATGTTGTAACAAGGACACATATCTGGTTTCCAAAGGTTTCATGTGAGCTTGAGCTTAGATGTATATGCTGTGTTCTCTTAGCTATTCCAAACACATTTTTTTTTTTTCAATCAAAGAAACTCCAATGGACTTAAATGGGTCATGAGATGTTTCAAAAGAGGACACATACCATACTGGTATCTGAATACTAAGATTCTTTCCTATGTCTGTGAGTATAATGCTTGCTTACACATACTTGCAAAGAACACAATTAGCATACTAATTTGATTCTCTATCTAATGAATGGAAGATTCTTTTGACACAGACAGCTGTCCATGAATAGCGAGGGTGACCCTTGGTCAGTTTTCCATCTGTCTTAGAGTAAATGTCCAGACTTAGATATACATTAGCTGTATGACCTCAGGCAGCCCTCTTACATGGCTGTTTGTCAGTATCTTCATCTGTAAAATGGAGGCACATCTAATATCTGCCTGATGGGGTTGTAATGAGGATTAAGTCAGTACTTTACTCACAGTAGACATCCTATATTATTTTTTTAAACTCTGCTCTGAATCTGTCTATTCTGAGGAAGTTTGTAGTAGGCCCAGAACTCTCTACTTTGATCTGCCTCTAAAGAAAGAGAAGTAGAGAAAGGTTTTACTGAATCAGTTCTGAGAGAATTCTATAGCTGTGGAGAAGTCACCACTTCTCTCCTTGACTCCCAGGGGTATAGGCTTCAAGGACAGATGCACAGAGACAGGCAGGGAGTGACTACGATCTGGACATGTGTTAGGCCCATCTCCAGTGTCCCCAGCAGCTCTCAGAATACCAGGCTGACAAATCTAAATAACACCAGTTACAACTGGATCACCACAATTTCAGCATCTCTCTCTAGATTGATCTCCCTCTTCCACCCTTTTCCCTTCCTTAGACTAGTGGTTCTCAACCTCGGTTACACATCGGAATTATCTGTGGACCTTTAAAATATTGATACCTAGGACCCATTCTCAGAGATTCTGATTTAACTTGTCCGCGATATAGTATCACTATTGGCCTTTTCTTTTCTTTTTTTTTTAAAGATTTTATTTTAAGCAATCTCTATAAAACATGGGGCTCAAACCCACAACCCTGATATCAAGAGTCACACACTCCACTGACTGAGCCAGCCAGGCACCCCCAGTATTGGCCTGCTTCTTTATTTAACAATTTTTTAAAAAAGATTTGTTTGTTTATTTGAGAGAGAAAGCAAGCACGTAGGTGGGGCAATGGGCAGAAGGAGAGGGAGAGAGAATCCTCAAGCAGATTCCCGGCTGAGCGTGGAGCCTGACTCGGGCCTGGAATCCAGGACCCTGAGATCATAACCTGAGCCAAAATGAAGAGTCAGACACTTAATCGACTGAGCCACCCAGGCACCCCAATTTTGTTTTCAATGCAAAGTCCAAGTTAACACATGCCAATAACATAACCAATAAAAAGACAAACATTTCATCATGACCCATAAAATGAATCTCATGTTGTTAACAGTATTTGTTATCTTATGCTTATTTAAATCCTAGTTTAATGTAAATATACTTTGTCTTGCCCTGCCCCAAAACTCGAGGCTGTTGAACCCATTGGGTGCAAGGTGCACCAGGCTGAAAGCGGCAGAGCAGTACCATTTAGTCCTGTCATTTGCACAAAGATTCCGAAGAATCTGAGTTGATTCAGAGCACCCTCTCAGACCTTGGGTTGGCCCCAGGAATCTAAGCATCTATTATCATCTATTAGTTCTGCCAGTTTGGTTGCCAATTTGATGAAGTGGATACTTTTCAACCCCAGTGTCATGATCTCTGGTATGTCATGATCAGCTGTGATTGAAATATGTTATAAGAAACATAAAATAGGGACACCTGGGTGGCTCAGTTGGTTGGGCGTCTGCCTTTGGCTCAGGTCATGATCCCAGGGGGTTCTGGGATCGAGCCCCACATTGGGCTCCTTGCTTAGCAGGGACTCTGCTTCTCCCTCTCCCTCTGCTTGAAGCTACTCCTGCTTGTGCTCTCTCTCTCTCTGTTAAATAAATAAAATCTTTAAAAAAAAAAAAAAGAAATGTGAAATAGTAATAAAGCTCTGGGGTTTCCACATGATCTATTTAAGAATGAATTCCAGCAAGCTCAGGGTTATCCTTATAATAGCACTGCTTTCACTCACTTGCACTACAATACACTGTCCTGAATGAGGGAACATGGAGGAGGTACAGTTCCTATGAAGGACTATCATTTGACATGAGTGTCCCTGTGGAACAAAGGTTGGGAGCTTGCACAAACCAACCACCCAAGTCAAAGAAGTTCCTCACTGGGCCTCAAGTTTGCAGCAGTGCATACTAATGGGGGTGAGGGGAGAGCGGGACAAAGGGGCCTCTCTGTTTTCTGGTGCCTGGTCTCTTTTTTGGGGACAGAGAAGACCTTGTTTTTTCACATCGGAGAAGGAAGCTTGTTTACAAGGTCACATCCTAAGCCATCTCCTAACGGAACATGGAAAAAACATCTTAAGTAATTCTGCCAATCTTTTCTCATCACAAAAATTTGGTTTATAAACATGTCAAGTGTAAACACAATATTTTTAGGAAAAATAAGGACAAAAGTATTACGTACTTGGGGGCGGGGGTTCTACTCATACTTGGAATAACTGTGATCCAACCAGTAATCTTAATGTCTTCTGCTGAATTTGAAGAAATGGGGTACTTCATTTAGTCATTTTTTTGTTTTGTTTTGTTTTTGTTTTTCATTTGCTAACCAAAATTTCTAGTTGCATAAAAAGAGAAATTACCAGTTGGGTAATTTAGATCAATACTTTTTTTTTTCTTTTTTTCCTTCTCCAGGTTCCTGAGCAGAAGTGAAAATTAGGTTTGATGACAAGGCTTGGAAAAGGGAGAAGAGCTGGGGAGAAATACGGTAAGCACTCAATAAATGGTCGTTGGTAGTTATTAGGTGGTGATGGGATGGTTAACAAATCTTTCTTAAGAAATGCTTTCAAAGCTGTGAAGTACAAAAGGGAACATACTACCTTGGTTTTCATGAGCTCCAAGTATTTTGAATATTAATTATGACTTTTTGTGCTCAGAGTGATTTTTTTTCTAATAAGTAATTTTGAAGCAAAATAAAGGAAGAGGGATTTATGAAGAGCTTAGTATACTCAAATTGAAAGTGAGCCTTGTTTTTAATTTTCCTCGTTTACAACAAATTACTTAATTGTTATATATTTTAGTGCCTCAATTTTCATTTCAATATTCCAACTTATTAGTGAGTAATCAACATGGAATCCTTGAAGTTAAATGGACAAAGTGTCAAGTAAATTTAAGATCTTATTTTGTAGAACGATGTATCAAATTGGGCAAATACACTTAAAATATATTTAGAAGATTAGATTCCTCATGGTTATTTGGCAAATGAAGTGAAGGGCCACTTCCAGATTTCAAGCCAAAGGGTGATGGCCTCTTATTACTGTCTATTAGTAGTAATAATTCTATTAGTAACAGAGAGTCTCCGAAAATTCATGGATGACAGTTCAAGAATGAATTGCTTACCAAGAGAAAATCAGGAATATTTGGGGGGTGCTTCCTTAACCTTTCAAAGCTGCCAGCTGTCCTGACTTCCCACAATCCATGCCAGAGGGCTACTTCCTGAGGCCGAATTCTGCAAGGGACCAGTCTGATACTGACCTCTGTTGCACTACTCATGGTGAAACGTGGTGTTTTGCTTCCCCTCCATCTCTTGCTCTGTATATTACACTGCTGTTTTATTTCATGTTGCTTTTTATTTTACACTGACCCTAGCCTTTTGATGTCGGTATATGAAATCTCACTTTTTCATTCTGTCGATCATTTCTGGCTCTGCGGTCTTAGATCCATCACTTTTTACTGAGCTTTTATGTCACTAGAGACAGCTTTGCATTTTAATAAAGTTTCCAATCCTCCAGGGCCCTCTCCCCTGAAACAGCTCCAGCTCCCCAGGGCTGCTGAAGAGTTGAGCAGAGAGAGTAGAAGCTTTTGTGGACAGTGATGCTGATGGCAGATAACTCCAGCTGTCATTACAAGATCATCCAGATAAGGAGGGGACAATCAAGTAGGGCTTATGGTCCACTTGAGTTTTTCTGATTGTAAAACCAGCCATTTTTCAATTTAAATAATTTAAGGATTCCAGCTTCTCTATACTCTAAGGCTCATTTAGCCTCTTATTAGCTAACTGTTTCTCCAGTTCAAGAGGTGGAAGGGAAGAGTGCAGATTTTTTGTTATTGTTAATTCACAGCAGTGGGTAGTGGTGTGTAAATAAAAAATAAGCCGAACAGATTTGGTGAGAAGAGAGAATAGAAATCCATACAAGTAAACATACGTGATTTTAAAAAGTTAATTAAAAGGAATAAAAAGGATAAGCACTGCCTGACCTACCATATTATCAATAGGCAAATGACAGAAAGGAGAATGAATTGGAAAATGGATTCCCAGCTAACTAGAAAAAGAAAACAGACTAAAGTAATTCTTAATTTTAATTTGAAAATCCCAAATTCTCTCCTAAATCCTTTCCTCATTGTATTCTGATAATGATCTTATCTCACATTGTTCCCATTGAAGGAAAAGCTGGGACTGGCAGGAGAGAAAAAGCAAAATGAAGTTGCAATGTTCCAGAGGATTCAGCTCAGGACCCACTTAGAGAATCACCTGGGACACATCCATGTTAGCACATACAGCCAGGAAACCATAGCCACCAAAAGGTCTTCCTTCTCTTCCTTCATTGTAAGTCTGTTTTTTAATTTTTTCTTTTCAATTTTGCACCCTTCTCTTCTCAAATCTCTGGGACCAAAGGTCGGTAACCTTTACCACATTTCTTTTCAAGTGGTATATACAGGAATTAGCGTGCAAGTCACTCACTTCCATACAAGAAAAAGGGACATGAAGGCACTATCTACTAAGAAGGTGGGACTTTTCTTGAAATTTTCAGGAATATCTTTTGGACTGTGTCCAGTTGATCTGTATGGGTATCCTAGGGTTAGGACAGGTTTGAAGAACCAAGCAATGTTCATGCCTGTGGGCTGGTCTTTTGTTTAGGAGACATGTGCTGCTCACATGAAGGCACAAATTTCCCAGCATAAAGGTCAAAGCCTTAGAGAGAAGGCTGGATAGCTAATTAGAGAAAATATTTCCTGACAGAGGTAGGACCCATGGTTACTACCATGAGCTGACACTGCTAGAGAGCTACGCTTTGAATTATCAGAAAAATAATGATGACATGCAGACCATTGACCAGTCTTCAGTTGACACTGGAAAGAAATCTTGTGTGGAAGGTAAGTAACATACAGGTAAGGAGTTACACTACAAGAAAAGACTAGGAAACACTGTGTTTTCTTTCCCTCCTACATTCCCTCCTTCCTCTCTTGCTTTCTTTTCTTTCCCATTTCCCTCTTTCTAAATAAGAGAAGCCCATCTTTGGATTACTAGTGAATTATCATGGATCAATTGCTGATGCATAAGTAGATCTCAGGCAAATCTGGGATATCTCTATTCAAAGAGAAAACTGTAAACTTCAAGACTGGTGTTCTGCTCCCCCCGCCCCACCTCCTCTTTCCTCATTTTAGAATTAGGGAAAACAAAACAAACATAACCAGATAAGCTGAGTGTCAGAAACAGCAAATACTGTTTTTGCTCCCTGTATTTCCTTTTTCTTTTTTAGGCAATGGGGTTGTAAGCTCTGTAAGGTCAGGGGCCCTGATAGATTTACCCAGTACTGTATTCCCAGCATTTAACACTGTGCCTAAATATTTGTTGAATGATTGAACTAATGGGATATCCATTAATATTCTATCCACAAGATGTGGATAAAGAATTGGTAAATCAGAGCCACATAAAGATTGCCTTACAGGTCTCCTCCCACCTTGATTTAATCTGCCAAAGTTCTATTAGAGAAGATTTTTAAAAATGTGTTCTACAAAACATCAACTCTGAAGAATAAAAATCAATATTTTTTTTTTTTTTTTTTTTTTTTTTCAAAAAAGGAGGAGAGAGTCTATGGAAAATTAGTTTGGGCTACTCTGTAGTACACAAAGTTCAAAGAGATCTTTACAGTATGATCTTTCAGAGTTTTTCAAATACAAATTTTCCCTGTGAATTTCACAGGGAGGAACACAGCATGCTACATTTATAAAAATTATTTGACCATTCGAGAAAGACAACTATCATATGATCTCCCTGATATGAGGAAGTGGAGATGCAATGTTGGGGGGTTGGGGGGTAGGAAAAGAATAAATGAAACAAGATGGGATGGGGAGGGAGACAAACCATAAGAGACTCTTAATGTCACAAAACAAACTGAGGAGGGCCGGTGGGAGGGGGGTAGGGAGAGGGTGGTTGGGTTATGGATATCGGGGAGGGTATGTGCTATGGTGAGTGCTGTGAAGTGTATAAACCTGGCGATTTATAGACCTTTACCCCTGGGGCTAATAATACATTCTATGTTTATAAAAAAATTAAAAAATTAAAAAAATTACTTGACCATGTTCCTCTTTTAGTTGGCACAGCTTATGGAACACTATAAAACATGTCTTTGGGGAAAGTAGCATCTTAATTCAGCTTTACATTCTTTAAATCATCTTTCTTTTGGATTTAAGTCCCAAGTAATTTTTTCCACTGAGAAAGATATCACCAGGCACAACAATGGAATGTACAGGTAGTTAACACTATGAACTTGACACTAAAACATAGTTAAGATAGTAAGTTGTGTACCATGTATTTTTTTTTACCACAACTAAAAATTAAAAAAAAAATACTCCCTAAATATTATTTTGCTAAATAATAAGTGAATCAGTATTTTACTTAAGGACTGTAATGGTGCACCCAAACTTAACAGTATTAAACGGCTTGGTTTTGGCTACATTGACAAGTTACCAAACGCTTTCAATTGCATTTACTACCTAGATACTGTATCCTCCATAGCATCTTGATTTTGAACAAGGGGCTATGGATTTCTTAGTAATATATGCGTTTTTAGTAATATAGCTTTAGTAATATAGCTTTAGTAATATAGCTCAGGATGACTACATAAAAAGACCGGTGACTGTATGTATAGGGAAAGTTTATTGTAATTTAGTAGCGTGAACTTGAGACCAAGAGACAAGAGACCAGGATACAAAACTGACATTGTCACTGACTTAGCACCCCATCCTAAGTAAACACTGCTTTCTTTATCTATAAGATGGCCTCAGTCAGCAATTTTTTACTTTTTTGTCTCCAACATGAGAGTCCCTTTTTCCCTGGAACTCTAATAGTCACAGCAGATAAAAGCAGAGATGTTCTGGTCTCAAGAAGATGGGAGGCCAAGTGGGAGGCCTTATGACCCTGAGTATCCCCAAAGAGCCTAACAGCCTATGGGAACACAGTTTGAAAACCACGAGTTTAGCTAATCTTTAGGATTCTTTCTAAGTCTTACTTCTGCCACCAGGAATTAAGACTACAGTAGAAAAGAGTGCTTATGTGTCCATATTTAAGCTTCTAATTTTATACTGACCCACAGAGAATTCAGCTCTTCTAGAATATAGAACCCTGACATACTACCTGTGGCCAGCACCTTTTGAATGTCAACATTTATTTTAGATTAAAACATAAAATAGAGAAATATTACCAGAATATACTCTTCCCTCACTCCTTTTATGGATACATTTCAAGATATAGACTTGATGGTAAATCAAAATTGAATGCAAATATTGTCACTGAAAAGTTGCCCATTTATATGGTTTTCTCAGCCCTTCTTAGTTTTTAATGGGCAAGGTTTTGCTAAAAACAAAAAGTGTTAATTACATAAATATGCGTATTCTTTTCAAAGCATTACACTATATTATGGTTAAAAAACAATAGAGAAATGAATGCAAAACTATTTCAACAAAAACACTGCTTCTTGAGCAGCTTT